GCACTATCTGAGATTGTCTCACTAGTCTATATATATAACAGTATATTGAGAATTTGTGAAATCCCTACTCACTTTGAATGCCCTCGAAGTAAATCTCTCTATTTATTCTCAGTAATGTTGGTCATTATGAAAATTTAGTCATCCTCAATGTATAATCGATATGGTAAATCACCTGTCCTTAAGAATAGAATGAGGCGATGTTTGTTGTGATCATCGCGTTTAGAGGCCGACATCAGGATACCTTGCCCTTTCCAAAGTCAATCACACGCGATATGTTTTCGCGATTATCGATCCTGGCATTAGTCCTGACCAATGGAGTTTACACGTAGGAATATATGTTAATCAACTCTCGAACTTATAAGTCATTTGTATTGCATATATACACTGGAGGGAATAGCTGGGGGAACTGGTAGGGAGTTTTTCACACGGAGAAGATGGCATGCCCATTGCTTTTGCAACCATGGTAACGTAAATAGATCCGGGCTTTTAGTCGCTTCTACCGAGCTTTGACCCCAAACCATTCGTCATCTTCAGCGGTGCAGCTGTATATAATTTTTTTAGAGTCGTGTTATATTTTGGTGAAGTCGTAGCCTGGCGAGGCAAAATACAATTAAAAACTACAAATAAACGGTGATGCTACAACGCAGATTTAATGAATAAGGCGTTCATTTTCCGATGTTCTTCTTTCCAGAAATTCGGACCGTTAATTGTGTTATACGCTCTTGCGTGGTCGAAGGAAATTTTAGTCCAGTCCCTGAACTTTTCCTTCTCCGCTCTGTTTAGGGGTAAATACATAGAGTGGGAGTGGGAAAGTTAATGGACTGGATTAAAGGCATGATCGTGGAATGTTTGCACTTGATTCCATGTGTTTTCCAGGCAAGGCAAGTTCAGAAGACACGGTCTCCAGGAATAAGAAGTTAAGAAAGAGATACAATTTAAATTATAATTTATTTGTAATACCCGTTCCCAAGGCAAGAGAATCTCCTGCCCAAGGTAAATCTAAGAGAAATGTAGGGGTGTTTTTCGAGGTAACATTTTCGACTTCTTTCGTCTGTCCAATTCAAGCTTGCAATACCTCCTCTTCTTCCTTTGTCAAAAAAATTGAGATGCAAGGGCGGGACACTTGTTCATAGATGCAGTGGCCGCGCGAGTGCACATTTTCGTACTAGGCCGCTATCCGGCTTAGTAAGTTCGGTAACTGTGGAGGACTGGGTCGATGGAAAATTTGCTGGGGAAGTTGGCCCGAAGTGGAAAAAATGGCGGTCAAGCATCCAGTTATAATCCAAGATGGCGGTATCGAAAACCTAGTTTATTAATCGTTCTGTTCCAAAATAACGCCTGCACTGTAGGCTAGGGGGTAACGTTTTTTTTATGGTTTATTATTTTGTAAAACGCTTCAATAAAATCTGGGGGAAAAAAAGCTGTGAGAAACTATCAAACTTTTTCGACTGGCCTCTTGGAATAGAAAAAAAGTCTCTTTAAACTCCCTTCATTTATTAATACCATTTCTCTATTAAAAAGAAAAAAAAGTGAGGATAACGGATTTTCCTTAAAAATTAAAACAGAATTTTTAATCACCAGCTTAAAGCGAGATAGCTATCTCAATTAAATCGAGAACAAAATTCCATACCCCTAGCTAGTACCCACCCCTCCTTCGAACCCACATTAATTAATTGATATTTCCTGATCTGTTAATTGGTGAGGAGAAACGACATACATGCAGGAGCCATAATCGGGGATCCGTCCCCGATTATGAATCCCATTCCTTCTATGAAATTCCATCGATCCTTTTATAAAATCTCTCTCAGTTGAGATAAATTATATTTTGTCTATGTTCGATATTCTCTACTGGCCATTATAAAAATTGTATTCGTTTTAACATACGATCGTGATCGCAAAATATCTTGGCTGACGAAATCCGGAAAGCCATATTCAGCATCTTTTTCAACAACAGGACGAAAATACGCGTGATCGCCAAGGTCAATAACAAGCGATATGTTTTCTCTCATGTCCTTGCGCACATATTGATCAATCAATGTAACTCGTACCTTTTCTGTGAAAGGCCACGGTAATATCGAATCATATTCTCCAGGAATAACTTTGATATAGAGCGACAGAAATCTTCCTTTATATTCTTTATGTGCGACAGGGTCGAGTGTATTACCTCCATTAGGCATCATTTTTATTTTCAGCTTGTATCCGTTTTTAAACAAATAAAACGGCTCGCTCAGCACAACCTCTTGTTCTCCTGTCACTGCTCTCTCATAAACGGCTTGAAAGTGAGGAATTTTCCATACAAACGGGGCATAGTTCTCGGTAATCTTCTCCAGCTTCTCCTCTTGTCGTGTGTGTGCTTTTACTTGAGATATATCCTTCTTCAGTCTTTCTATCTCTTGCGAGTGCTCTCTAACCTTTGACACATCTTCCTCTAGCTTTTCTATCTGATGGGGTTGCTCATTAACCTTGGACATTTCCTTCTCTAGTTTCTGTATCTTTTGCGACTGTTCCTTCACCAGGCTGGCAAGAGCGCGAACTTGGTTGTGGGTAGTTTCAAGGCCGCGGAGGGCTAGGTCCAAATGACGTTCAACATGAGTTTCCGCGTGAGAATGGGCGTTTGATCTCGGAAACTGTAAACGGAAAATATATCTTTTAAATGTCACAATAAGAGAGGAATTAAGGCTAGGCGTGTCTTTTTCTACAGTGCGTAGAACTTCGAAAACAAGTCCCTTTCTACATATATATAGCTTATGATTCCATGTTAGTTTAATGTTGGTGCGGTGGTCGTATGTAGTCTAATTGGGACAGTTGAAAGAATAGGTAAAGCGGTCAAGTCTGCGTCAGGCCAGTGGCCCACACACCCGGAGCTTATCCCGGTTAGAAAGAATATTCTAACAAAATTTAAGGTCAAGGAAACTCTTCACGTAAGGTCGATCATAACATGTTAGATGTTTCCCCAGAATTGTTATTTTCGATAACTGACAGTATTCTAACCGTGGCCGCCTATCGGTCGCGGTCGAGAGCTATGGTCGATGGCGGAGCGTATGGACCACGAAAATGACGTAAGCTGTGACGCAACGCGACGCAACTTCAGTAGAACTCGAGAAATTGTTGTTGTATGACTGGACTAGCATATGGTAAATCAAATTTGTGTCAAAAATGTGTAAAAAAGTTCGTACCACTTCTTCACATCCCAAGTTCTTGTATTCACACTGAACTTCCGTTGCAGGACATTCATCGCGAACATGAACCTCAAGCTGGAAGCAAAAACAACCGTAAATTAAAGAATCATGCAGGTCGAGCACTTCCAAGGTAATTTCAACACCGAATTTTATCACCCATGACACAGTAGAGGCAAACTTGCGGGAGCGTACGAGGAAAGCAGGC